TTTCATTGGTATATTGTAAAAATGAGAAGGTATATTTTGGTATACTTCTGAGGGTCAGGCGGTATATTTGATCGATAAACTGGCGCCGGTCACACTGCGTCCCAAACCACGGCCTCATGTGTTTCTTCGACGTGACTTTTTTAAATAATTTAAACCAAGCATTGAGCATAGATTAAACAGCCGCAAAAATGAAACGTCGCGCCTCATTTGAAGGCTCCAGCTTGACAGAGCAGAACACGCGTAGGATGCGCCTGCAGGCCAATGCAATGCTGAATGCCAGCCCCTTCGATCCGACGCCACTCGCCAAATTTATCCTAAACTTGGTAAGTCTCAGCATAAACTCAATTTACTGACTGAAACCGAAGCTAATATCATGGTAATTCAATGTGCTTGCAGAAGCAGAAACCGGCCAATATTGACCAGAACGATTTGATGGCTGTACTGGAAGTAATCTTCACGAATTTGCTGAAACGCGAGTCCCTTGAGCCGCAGGCGCTTCAATGGGATTCCCTGTACACAGAGACTTGGTCTCTGCTGCTCGATCGCCTTGGCTCGTCGTCCCAGGTGGAGACCCAGATGGCACTGAAGGTGTGCATGTCCCTGATCAAGGGCGAGGCTACAAGTCCCGTCGTGGAGGGAGACTGGCCCATCGGCAAGCTAAAGAGCATTCTCGAAATTCTAATCAATGGCCCAGAGCGCACCATTGTACTGAAGGAATTCGGCAAGTACACCAAATGCCTCGATGTACTCAACTTGGCCATCAAGTTCGCCCTCGAACTGGCACCCACCGGCGACTACCAGCATGACACCATCAAAGCGATGAACTATCTGTCGCTGGTCAACCAATTGGACTTGGGCAAAGCGGTGCTCTCTGCCCAAAAATATCACGTGGACACGAACAAGTCGCACCGCAGCTTCAACTACGAGAAGGCTCGCAAGAAGTTGAACAAAATTTGGCGTGGCATAATCGCCTCCAGCAATGGCATAGACGAGGATCTGCATCGCATGGTGCTGGTGGTGCTGCTGGAGCGCATTCTGCCCCACATGGAGAATCCCATCGGAGTGACCGACTTCCTAATGAACTCACTGCACGAATATGGTTTGTCTGCGCAAATATTTCATACATTTTCATGCATTCGCCGTGTCCCTTTGCAGATGGACCCATTGCCCTGCTGGCTCTGCAGGGCATCTTTGTGCTGATGCAAAAGCAGAACATCACCTATCCGGATGTCTACGAGAAGCTGTACCAAATGTTCCACGCTCGCGTTTTCAGCAACAAGTACAAGTCGCGCTTGTTCTACTTGGCGGACATTTTCCTTACCTCCACACATTTGCCGGAGAATCTGGTGGCGGCATTTGTCAAGCGCTTTGCACGTCTGGCCCTCAAGAGTCCACCCAAGGATGCCGTGATCATGATACGTTTCATCTGCAACCTTTTGCTACGCCACACCGGCCTTCAGAAGCTAATTCGCGGCGATCCGCTGGCCGAACAGGTCACGGATCCCTACAATGAAAAGGAAAATGATCCAGTCAAGACGGAGGCTCTCAACAGCTCGCTCTGGGAGTTGCATTTCCTGCAAAAGAACGCCATACCCGAGGTGGCCAATGCGGCGACGTTCATCAACAATCCCCTGCCCATTATGGAGTTTGATCTGGGACCCCTGCTCGATGTAGAGGACAGTCGGGTAGGTAGCAAAGAATGGGAGTTTGGCAGCTCCTCCGATTGATTAACTCATTTTCTTTTGCTTTTGCTTTTGTTTTTCTTTTGCAGATCTTTGACGATCTATTGAAGAGCAAGGCCAAGCAGTATATGCTGAGTTACGAGAACACCAAAACTTTGGCGCTGACCGAGGATTACATTGTCACCAAGTACTTTGATCTAGTTTAGAAATTAATTTTAATGTTTAATGCTAAGCGGGATGACGATTGTCGTTGTAGTTGAGCCCTCTGGGACGAGCCAACTCGGTTTGAAACCATTTGGATGGTGAAATATAGTTGATATTTCCAGCACCAAGCACTCCTTTTGCCCGTGCATGAATCGCTGCTGTTGTCGGCTGCTGTTGCCTCAGCTCGGAGCAGGTGCGGCAGGGTCGTATCAAGGCAAAGTACACACATTCGGCTATGGAGAGGAAGCTGAAGCCCAGGAACAGCCCCATAAGACCACCAACATTAGCTGAAAGATGTGAGAAATCAGTTCAAAAATAGTTCCCTCGGGTTCGCTGGCAATTACGCACACAAAAAGTCCGAGAAGCCAATGAACTCTGTCTGCTTGCTGGCCCGATATGTCTGGTCCTTAAAGTACATGTTGACCACCGCAATGCTGCGCTCCACGTAGGCATCGGTGAAGTTGAGACTGACATTCGGGTTGGTCACGTCGAAGCCGTCGTGCGAGATCTTCGTCGAGTAGGTGATCGTGTTGAAGGTCAGATCGAAGCAGCTGGGCAGGCACTCGTCGAGGCAGGACTCCATTGCCTCAATCGTGCCCAAGCGTATTCGCTCCACGCACTTTCGCTGCCCCACCGAGCAGATGCTGTCGTTGCGGTGCAGGCGCGGCATGTAGAAGAAGACACAGCCACAGTGAAGCAGCAGCAGCTTCGACAGGCATTCAGCGGCGCAGTTGCGCTGCGTATAATGGGCAAACCAACGCAGCTTCAGCTCGTTGCGGAACAGACATCGCCTGTACTTGCGGTGCACGCGTCGCAGATGATTTTCTGTGCGGATTTTGGCCGGATCTATGCGAAGTTTCGTCTCCATGCCGGGCGCCAGCAGGACGCCCGTCTCGCGCACATTGGGCGACTCGTTGGGACTGTGCAGGGCGACCTTGAAGCCAATGCTGCTTGATGAGGAGCAGTAGTAGGCATCGGCCTGTACGTCCAGCGTCAGAGACAGTCCCAGCGACTCGCCGGTGCCTTGGGCTGGACGCGGATACAGTAGACTGCCTGGATACTGGCCTCGTCTGTAACCCAGCTCTGCATGCCAATTGACAGCCTGATAGTCTTTGGGTAAGGTCATATTTCGTTGGGAAAATGAAGCGCTGCAAGAAGAACAACATAGACAAGATATCCAGGCTATATTGGGGGCTTTTGACCAGTTTCTTGTGCAAAATTCATTTGCTTGAAATACAATAATGCGTTAGCACATTTAATTTCATTGAAAATACCAAATACTCAAATTTTCGCGCCTCTTTCAAACGCGCTAGGTCATTATCGACAGGGCTTTTGAGCGTCAATCGAGCCAAAAGTATTTTTAATAATATTTATGTCAGTCTGAGCTATTTAAAAACCTCCTATGAATGGGTCTTGATATATAATAATTATTTTTAAAATAATTAAACTCTTGTAAATAAGTGTACTATCGATATTTTTCGACCTAACAGGGTTGCCCTGGCCGTAAGAACAAATTAAGTGCATAGTTTAAGAGATGCTGTGCTTGTGTTACTTGTTATTAAATTTGTAGTGTTTATTGTTTAGTGCTATTATTGGCATTTAATTAGCACGTGCTAAGTAGTTTATTGAACAACAATGAGATACAACAAACACGCGCCTCATCGATAGGCAGCTATCGATAAGAGCGACCACACAGCCAGTTGATGAACTGGCTGCAAAAAGTTGAACAACACCAATGTGTTTAAGTGCTGAGTTTCGCTTACCAAAATCGAAAGAAATTCAATGTTACCTGCGTTTGTACATGAAGCGTGGTTGCAGCATGTTAAACACACAGCACAGGCCCTCGTCGGTGACAATTGGATAAAACATTCTCGCACATTCATAGTCGTCGGCGCCGAAGCGACAACCGATGACCATCGATTGGCATGGCTGCGATATCTGTGAGTGAGATAGTCCGTTAAAAAATTGAAACAAATCTAATTAACACATGCATACATTCATTATGAACTCTTCCCAGTTGGCTCGATCCTCTCTGACCCGCTGTACATCCACCCTGCGACGGCACAACACCTGCAGCATTGCATAAGCGGCCGAGTCAGTGGCCAGGGTCGCGACCCTGCTGGCCAAGGCCTGGTTTAGGTTGCAAATTGTGACGGCGGGAAATGGCTCATTTGTGATGTACGTGAGCTCCGGATCAATGCCCACTATCACCGGTGTGGTGTTCCACTTGTCGAAGGCATCCTGTATGAGATAGGCGGCCATAGAGACAACCGCCAGCATTGCAACACCAAAAAACAATCTAAAAGGTATAAAGTGCCTTTAATCCTCTGTAGCCATGTGCTCTCATGTGTGTTTTGTGTTATTTACCTGTCGCTTTTGCGTAATTTCCCATTATTGATATACTTCAGGCCATGTATAGTCGTATTGCGACAGAACTCATCTGTGTTCCTGGCCAGTATGCGCCGCCACGTCCCCATCGATATGCGGGTTCTCGCCTGTGGCTTGCTGCTTAACTTTGGGTATGGCTGGCGGCTCCAGAAGAGCGCCAATTGCCGGCGACTACGGTACGGTCGCATCTTCAGTCACCTATTGAATGAACCCATTACTGACTGTCGCTTGGGCGTAAGTGTCCTTATTATGACATCAATTTTCAATTTGTAAATTAAACAATTTGTTTATTTGCTGTATAAGGTGAACGCTTGGCTGCTTCTTTGTGGTTTCTGTCGCCTTCTGTAGCTCCTTGGACATATGTCTGGTTTTATTATTTTCTACAACATAAGCAAGTCCTTAATGCAGAATCAGACTAATTAAGGTAATTGTTATACATTTTGTTCCTTCGTTAAAGGGAGCACCCGGACATTGCCTGAAACTTTGCGCAGCTTTTGAGGCGTGTGAGGACCCTCTGCACCCTCCCTTGTAAAGCGCAACAGCTACATTTGTGCATCCATGTGGTCTTCTCAGACGAAAAAATATACAATTTGTAAGGACCTGATGGATATAGTTAGTATTTTCACGAGCTTCGAGAAGCAACCCGTTATTTGTGGAGCTGAAGCCTAGTAGTCTTGGCCACGTGTCCACGTGTCAAACGTGTCTCCCATCAAGCTAACATTCAAATTCGAATCGAAGTGTAAATATTTTTATACATGTACGAAAACAAGTGGCACAAATGCACAGAAAGTACAGGATAAAAGCGTACGGCAGCTACAAGTAGACTAAAAATAAAATACAAAAAAAAGGTAAAATAAATAAATACAAGAGCTACTAAGACTAAATTCGATTGAGGATTCGCTGAGGATGATTGTTGATTAAGTATCAGTATCAGTATCAGTATCAGTATCAGGCAGAGTGCCGGACAGGCTCAGACTTCCGAGAAATCAGTATCGTAGGCATTGTTGCGATAGGAGCCATAAGTCGCCTCATCATACATGCCACCCACACGCCGCGGACTCGCTTCCTTCTTGTACGCCGTGATGTCGGAGGACTGTGGCTGGCCCACGGACTTTGCGGGCTCGTCGTCGCTCACGGCTTCCTGCGTTTGGTCCTTGTACTGATAGTTGCGGGCCAGCCAAAGGAACAGCACCATGTCCACCAGCATGAGGCAGGCGAAGAGCGCAAACTCGCCCGACTGCGAACTGGCCATCTTGAACTCTGCGATAAGCACAACGATCATGTTGCCAACTGCCACCGACAGCAGCCAGCAGGCCTGCAGCACGCTCTTCATGCTCTTCGGCGCTTGGGTGAATGAGAACTCCAGCCCCGTCACCGAGAACATAATCTCTGCCGCCGTCATGGCAACAATTTGCGGCAGCTGCCACAGTATGGACACCGCACTCGGCGCCACCACCTCCACCAGTTTGTAATCCTGGAAAAACATTCGCATAAATATGGCAAAACTTATGAAAGATTATAAATTACTCACATATCCACTTGCAGCATCGCCGTTCACCAGCAGGCTGTAGAGTCCACCGTTTTGGGGGTGAAAGCTGGCTGCCCGCTTCCCATTGATGTCTACCTCGCCATAGCCAACGACGACTCGATGCAGCTCCGATAGATTACGACTGTCCAGCGGGAGCGGCTGGCGAAAGTATCCCGGTCCCTTGAGCAGGATGGGGCCCTCACCCTTCGGCGTGTTGATCAGCGCACGGAGCAGGGGGGGACTGTTGATGTTGAGCACACTGTCCAGGCCATCATGGAACTCGTGCAGCTCGTTGTCGGCCAGGAAGTAGCTGGTCGCCTTGCCCGGACGCAGACGCAGCTGGCCTTGAATCTGGCCACAATTGCCTGCCGGATCATGGGCCGTGAAGTTGTACTCTGCGGGCTCCCGGACGATTAGCGACAGATCGGACCACATGTCCAAGGGATCGATGCTCCGCAATGATGCGTCTTGTGCTGCCGTCCTGGGGCTCACATTGCTGAGGAACTCGTAGCGGCAGGGCATTCCATTGTACAGTCGCAGGTGGGCGGTGTGCGGATCGTTGGGCACTGCGCCACTGGCAGCCTGTTCCATCTTCATTTCGAGGCCAGCGGACAGGAAGAAGCCCAGGGCAGCCAGCAGCAGTCCCACAGTGAGCTTCTGCAGTGGCCGACGCAGACCGCACTTGGCCAGCAGCGGATAGATCAAGTAGTCGAAGAGCGGTATGAAGGCCAGAATGAGCAGCGGATTGACCACTTGCATCTGATCGGGCTTGATCTGGTAGCCCAGCACCTGGCCATCCATGCGCGTGGCCTGGAAGGTCCAGCGGGAGCCCTGCTGGTCGAACAGCGCCCAGAATGTGGGGAAGGGCAGATAAAGGATGAGTATCTTGCCCAGACTCTTGGTCTCGTGCACCATCTTGGCGCCCACCGTGGGTCGTGCGTAGTCCAGGAAGCTGGGCATCGGCGCGGTCTTGCGGAACTTGAGCCAACCCTTGAACGCACTCCTGAGACACTGCGAGACGCCGAAGATCATGTTGCCCGTGGGCGCATTAATATGATAGCGCCGCTTCCCTGCCACAAAGATGACCACAGAGACGAGCATGAGTATGGCCGGAATGCCAAAGGCCAGCGAGAAGCAATCGCTCTCGCCAAAGCAGTGGACATCCGCTCGCAGAATGGGCGTCACTGTGGTCGAGATCATGGAGCCCGCATTGATCGCAAAGTAGAAAAGTGAAAAGAACTTTGCCAGCTGCACGGCCTGCTGGGGCAACACGAACTGATCACCGCCAAAGGCTGACACGCACGGCTTTATGCCGCCCGTTCCCATGGCGATCAGTATGAGGCCCACAATGGTCACGGCTCTGAAAGAAGGGATTCGATTATTGTAGCTGCATTTGTGGCTGGACACTCACAGCACTCACTTGGTGGGCATGACACTCAGCGGAATGGCGCCAAAGGACACTATCAAGGCGCCAAGACTGTACACCATCGAGAGATACAGAATCGTCTTGTATTTGCCCAGCCAGCCATCGGCAATGAGGGCTCCAATCAGTGGAAAGATATACACCAGCATGGTGAAGACGTGGAAGAGCACCGTCGAGGTCTCCTCGTTGTAGCCCAGCTTGTTGGTGAGATACAGCACCAGAATGGCTGCAAATGGACAAGGACGGTGATCAGATCAGAAGGAAGTCCTTAAGGGAATACTCACTGCGCATGCCATAATAGTTGAAGCGCTCGCAGAACTCATTGCTGATGATAAAGGCCACCGACTTGGGATACGGTACGAGTTCCTGCTATGAGAAGTAAACAAAAAACAATCTCAATCAAAAATGCGAGTCATATTTTCTTTATCAGATCCCCAGCACCTATCTCTTGTCAGCTGCTGCTGCAGAAACCGTTTCCTATCGATAAGAAAGTTTCACCTCCACTCGCTGACTTGGCAAATTCTTGGGATCCCAGTACACACACACACACACACACCCTGTAACTTAAAGAAATTTTCATGTTCTGCCTGAATGCCCATGGGTGCTGCGGCATTTATTGTTTCTTGTTGTCAAAGCCCTTCAAACTTTCTAATCATTTATTGAAATTCGAACCTTTCCACTTTGCCAGCTGGTCGAAACTCCCATGGGTTGCTCTTTAGATGAACAAAGAGAATGCACAAAATCACTTTGAAACTCTTCAAATTGCAGGCAGCATTGATGGATGGATGGATTTGTGGCACTTCCATTAGCCAGCCCTTCTGCTAGGGTATTACAGTGTCGGCCTGGTGGGGCTGGGCTGGATGCAGGGACAGCGGCGTGTCTCTTGCGATGGCTTTTCTATGTTTATTCTCAGGGTAATACGGCTTTTGAGTTGTCTCGTTTTCGCTAGCCATTTCGGTTTCGTTTTCGATTATGTTTTGGTTTTCGTTTTCGTTTTCGTTTTGCCGCGTCTCTTGGCCAAGGTGAGCAACGGTGTGCGAACGGGTTTTATTTTTCTTACTTTGGGGGGGCCATGGGGCTGTGGCTGTGGCTGTGGCTGGGGCTGGTTGGTCCACTGATTGACGGATTAAGAATTCTGCTCACACCACGGTCGCTGGCGCTCTCCCACTATGTGGGTACATCTGCTCCGCACTCACCTTAGCTGATTTGCAATTCTCTATGCCAACTGCAGGTGTAATAAATGCCATAGCAAACTTTATGTAACGATCGTCAGTCAGAGTCGGAGTTGTGGATGGCTTCTGCTAACAGCTGCTTGTCGGTCGTGTGCCGGCAATAGCGTTTGGAATCGAACTAAGAATGAGCTGATGCTGGCCCCGAGCTTTAAAGTTCGATTTGCCGGGCGCCTCTGCCCTCCTCCACTCTCCCCAGCAGCAGCCAACAGTTGTTAGACGTTGAGTTGAGCCAATAAATTAACAAACAATAAAGAAAAGGAGAAGCTACATTTGTATGTGCTAGGGTTGTGCAGGCAGACGATGCTGAGATCATTGTTCCAGCGGATTACAATGGAATGAGTGGAGAGAAGCTTATCGACACTTGCTGGAGATTGTCTGAGGTTTGTTTACACTAAGCTACAGGTGCAAAGGGTCTGGGTCTGGGTGCTGGGTGCTGGGTGCTGGTGGCAAATGAATTCGCGTGGCTGCAAAAGTGGGTCAACCTCTTTGATGCCCTTCTTTGTTCATGGGTATGATTGTTCTTGGCGTAGCGAAGACTCAACCAAGCATGGGTTACCCTATGCACCCTACCAAAACTGAGAGTTAGCTCTATTAAAAGACAGTTTTCAATGCCTGTGAAAAGGTGAACTGACACTTTGGCTATTTCCTGGCTGCTGGTATATGCGAGGGTATTCCTATGTCGATAGCACTGTAGGGAATCCATCTCTTTGATTCTTGTTTTGATTTACGCGTTTCGTAATTGATTCAATCAATTTGCGGGTAATAAAAGGATCTCGATTCGATTGACACACATTTTCGCGGCCAGTCAAGGTCGACTGCGGTCGCTGTCGCGGCTGCAAGTAGAGCACCCACAGAGCTCGGCAAACCTTGGAGGCAGAAGCAGAAGCAGAAGCATTCGGAAAAGTCAAAGTCAATGGAATCTGCTGCTGTTTCTATAGATAAAGTAGTCGTGCTCGTAAATTACATTACCATTACATACATATTCACATATGTACCATAATACACATGCACTTCTTGTATGCATTTTCGACTGCATAAAACGTGCATATAGAGCACTTTCTCAATTGACTATTGAAAGTGATAATAAGTTCGTATGTACATGCTTTTGCTCTCACTTTGCTCTCACTCTTCGCTGTTCTTGGCATCAATTCTTTGTGTACCCTCCCCCCTCAAGTTATTTTGGTTGGAGCTGATGTTTGTTAAATTTACAGTCAATCTCAGTTTTTATATTAAATGCGCATTTGCGTGTGCAATTATTTGTGTGAAAAAATGACTTGCAATCTGAAAAAAAACTATGGTTTTTGTCATGCATCTATTTCCTTTTCTCTTCCCTGTTTCGTCTTTCTTGCATTCCTTCACTTTCTTTCAAGGCATTCGACTTCTCTGCATTCTGTTTGCTGCGCTCTCCTTGCTTCACTTTGCATTCCCTACAAACTGTAACGGCACTCCACTCACCCCACTCTCATCCAGTTTCTTCTCCTTGGCTGTTTTACCGTAGCCACCATCCTCCGCTCTTACTTCACTCGCATTATTGTTCTCCATTACAAATAAGGGACTGTGCACATAACGGCACTCACAGAAACGGGTACAGCAACAGGGTAAAAGAGTCTTGGAATTTTATCAACTGCCCAAAAATTCACGCACGTTCAATGATTTTTTTCGGACAACAATTAACAATCGGCGACACAGGTGCAATTAAGACGGGTTGGCCGCTAGGTAACAATACGATCACAGTGAGCGCGGTGCGGGGGAGCAGAGGGGTGGCGAGATGCTGATTCTGGGCCTGGGGTCGGGCCACGTTGATGCCGTAAACGAACAGCACACTTGCCAAACGATAAATGATGCGCTGCCCCCGTGTAAGCTGCGCTTTTAAAGCACAGAAAGACAACGATTGAGAGGGATTGGTGGACAGTGGACAGTGGATAGCAGCAGCGCAGTCGGTAGCCAAAAAACAAGACGAACAAGAACAAAAATCAAATTAAATTTTTAGATAAACAGCTTGCACGGAGGGAGAGAGATAGAGAGCAGACGCAGCAGCAACGTTGACTCAATTAACGGAGATTTTGACACTGGCTTTGCTCTCGCAGCAGATCGCTCACTATCTCTCTCTCTCTCTCTCTCTCTCTTGAGCTCGCTCAGTGGATTATGCTTGTGCTTAGTGCAGCTGCGACGCAGCGCTGCTGCTGCAGCTGACGCCAAGCTTAATTTACACACCGGCCGTATGTGAACGACCCACTACACCCACAACGAGCTTTTGCAGTCAAGTTCAATGCTGATCAACGAAGCTGTACGTCCAACCCCTGATTCTGATTCTCACTGTCTCTCTCACTCATTCCTACTGCTCTGCGTGGGCGCTTGCTGTGCGGATATGTTGACCGATTACCGTTTTCCTTGGGCTCCCTCTCTGTTGTCAGGGTCCACCATCTGGAATACACTAATCTAAACCATCTACTATCTAAGGATTCCATGTGCACCTAGGTGGCTGCTATCTTAGTTTGCTTTTCTTTACGGCTTTGACTAACATTGGTTGGGACTTTCCCAGGCAGCTATAAATCTACCCCGGCCATAAACATTTACGATGCGCATTAGTTATTGTTTCAAGATTGCTGTTTTTCGCGCGAATCGATTCTGTAAGCTGTATAGGGAATCGTACAGTTCTGCCACGACTGTTCTGTACATGCTAGTGCAGTGTAACGGGACTAGTGCTGCCACCCCACAGACTCACCTCTGTCGAGAGAGAGCTCTCGGAGTGGTCCGTGGTATCCGTTGTATATCCATTCCCAGTCATAAAGGGCAAATGGCGGCTCGGCCTGGGCACTGATAGAGGGATCAAATCGAAACAAATTATGGAGTGGAGAAATGTTTCATGTGGAGGACTCACCCTTGTTGTATCCAAAGTCGTTAAGCATAAACTCCAGATCAGATGTCTGAAAGGTTAGCGTCGAGGACTGGTACCCGGACCGTGACGGGGAGTGGGACTCCGACGAAGTGCTAGACGCTTGTCTTTTGTAAGTCCCCTTCTTCATAGTGATAAATTGAACTGCTCTCTGAAATGTATGACAGCAGACACACGGCCTTCTCCACACAATCAGGTAGAATAGTACAAAAATGTAATTCATTGAGCAAACAGTTGATAACAGCTACGGGGGGATACGATATCGATCTATGACGGGGTCGACTGACTGCAACTCCTTCACTTGAGACAGCGTTTGCCCTTAGCGATTGTTTGATTCAACTTCAATATCTTCATCTACGAGTGTATCTGTACCTGTACCTGTATCTGTGTCTGTATCTGTGGAGGCTCTCCAATCTCGACAGTTGGCTTTCGCTTGATATTTATGACCCGGTTAGCCAAGTGGTTCAGCGGAAAGCGTGGACTGGGGGCTAATCGCACTACTATCCGATACGATCTAATCGTCACCTGACCGATCGACCGATAAGACAGCCACTAAGGCTACTCACTTCTTAGCACATAAATTGTTTGTTGGCACAGCCCCAAGTTCTGGTGTCGTTCAAGGGCACAGAGCAGACGGGGATTGCATAGCAGCAGATCGATTTGTCGCAGTTGTTGCATGCCACAACATTCCCATTGAGCCTTGCACACATTCCACAGCAAAAACTATTAAAGTGATGGCTATCGACACGCAACCAGATCGACTGATACACATAACCTACTCCTCATTCGTATGGCGCATACTCTTAATGGCTTTAATTAAGTGTTACTCAATCGGGCGCATTGCATACCATAGACCATACACCATAGACCATACACCATCACAATGCAATCTCAAGCCGATCGGGGCGGAGCGGTGCCGGGCCAGGCCAAATGACAATCGTAAAAACGAAAGCAAGAAGCAAAACAACAACTGAAAGTACACTTATCGCCCAGCCATACCCCCCGCCCCCCGGCCCACGAATCAAATAGCAATAACAATAACAGTAACACAGTGACAATAACAGCAAAAACAACACCAACATCGCGCAATGAATGACTTTTGGGCCATTCGGCGGCGGGTACGAGTACGAGTGCCAGCATAGCCAATAGCCAATAGCCAATAGATGTTTATACTTGTTTCTGGGCATGGCTATAATGATAGCGAACCATAAATACTATTTGCAGTTATCGGCTCGGCGATTAAGTTCAGTTCATAAAACAAAACCGACACGAGTCGGGGCCCCCGATTAGATGCCAATCGATCTGCGTAAGCGTCTCCTCCGTCTCTGCTCTGCTCTGAACTAAATCGAAATCAATTTGATTTGAGTGTCCCGCCCATAGCTGCGTGAATGCCCGTAATCCCCTCGAAGCAGCATCGGTAGAGTGGAGATCCTTCTGATATTCTGTACCATGGGGACGTGGATACCTCCAAAAATGCGAAGTTTATTAATTGTATGTACCGACAAAATGAGTACGATTAACGAGTTTATTAGAAGACTATTTATAGATCAAATTGATAACGGTTATTACTACATTTTCGGGTTTAATATTAACATACAACGTCTGCCTTTTTGGAACAATTAAATATAGATTCGCTCTGAGTCGCAGAGTCTGGGCTGCCATACCTGAGTTCTCTCTCTCTCCCTCTCTCCTCGCGCAGAACACTTTCTCTCTTTCTGCGCTCCCCCTCTTTGGCTGTTAGAGAGAGGCGAAAATATTTAGTTAATGACTTGACTGACTCCCACTGTCCGCCCACCTTCGAGTAGTTTGAAACAGACGAGGCGTGGCACTGAGATAAGTTACTGGCAGGGCAATGGAGATTTACGTACATACTTATGTATGATCTGGCGTTGTCATTGTCGTTGCTGTTGTGGAACCGCTCTGACAGCGATGAGAGACGGGCCATAAATAGCAGACGGGCATAGCGAATACCATCCATCTACCTCTTCATTCATTGCGGGAACACAAAAGAGCGGGGGCCGTAAATAGTCGTACTTGCAGCGGACTGTCGATAACACAACGATTAGGCTTATCGCAGTTAACGCAGTTTTGTCATCCTTCCAGCACGCCAGCGACGTCGACGTCGACGTCTACAGTGGCAGTGGCAGTGACAGACGCAGCACGCGCGCAGTCGCAGCGAGCAGCAAGCAGCAAGCAGAGCAGAGCAGAGCAGAGCTCAGAAGCAAGCAGCGCAACAGTTAACGGCTTCTTAGCAAAGCTTGCAAGCAGCCGACATCAGTCAGAGTCTGTTGATCGTCGCTGCCGGACCGACCGAACTGCAGCTTTTTGTTTGTGCTTCATTCTGTTTTATTTTTTGTTGTTGTATATTTAGCTCAATGTTTTAATGTGAGTTACAGTGCGGGCAATACGAGAAATGTAACCCTACAATACGTAAACCCAAACAGACAAAACAAAACCAGACCAGACCAGATCAGGCAGCAAATAAAATATAAATAAAAAGCACTTTCTTGTTGTAAAAAATATACAATTTATGCACGTTTTTTGTTGTTGTATATTATTTTTGCACTTTCTGACCGCTTTGTGTGCTAATTGAACTCTGAAATATTTCGGGCAAAGGATGTCACAGATTTTTTTTGTATGACGGCACGTCTCTGCTCGGCTTGCTCTTTTTTCCTCGTGTTCTTGATTGAATCAGAAAAGAAAGCGCGAACTTACCATATAAATGTAAACATAAATAAATATATACAAGTATTTCCATTCGATTTCAAGTGACGCGTAACGGATGCAAAGCAAAACCCCAGCGACAAACCAGCATCAGCAGCACCAACATGACGGATAAGGAAAATGGTATTGTTTGTTGTTTCTATAATTATTCTATAATTGTTCATAATTATAGATGTACATACACTCGTAATTATACGATCTACAATTGAAGTGGGCGCAGGGGGTACGCGGTTTTTGGTCAAGATTTCATAGAGTTGGAAATTCATTTGGAAATTATTGGACGGGCAGCTGCGATTAAACAATCGAAATTGAAGTGTTAGTTTATCTGAAATACTCGCAATCTTAAGCATTAAATGGCATAAGCACAGCCCTAGAAATGACGCTGAGAAAGTGTTTGCCTCACGCAGCTTTCCCCTATCAGAGCCAAGAACCTTTGTGGCAAACCTCCCACACTCACGCCCACCCGTAGACCCATATGTAGGCCGTTGAGTAACGAGCAGCGCCATAAAGATTAACTGTACACACTCGTACTCGTACTCGTACTCGTGGTATAAATATATATTTATCTGTCAACACTTGAATCGGCATTAGTGGCCGCAAAGCTGCAGAGCGACAGGCTGAAGAGCCTTTACCCAGAACTCGTGCTCGTGCCTCTGCCCCACAAATCTAGACATGCCGATAAGGGTAGCCCAAGTGCGCATCGATCCCCCCATCTGCATCGAGCCACTTCGACTTGGCCCAGTAGTGGTAAGCGCCCAAAGAAAACGAAGAGTTGCCAAAATTGGTCAATCGGCACACTGCCGCTCCCCCATTTGGCATTGCCACAACCCCGTTTTGTGCGTGGCACAAATGTGTGTTATATTAGTTGTGTTTTGGCTTATTGCGCTTGCATTTCAATGCCAGGTCTACAAATCGTCGTCTACAACGTCATTTGCATATTTATAAGCGTTGAGGCGGGTGTGTGCCTTGAATATATGACTCTGAGCTCATGAATGATACCACAACTCTCTGTGATTTATGTTCGTTTTTGCTTTGGTATTCCCCCGGTCCGAGCCGCCCCAAACGATTGCTGACAAATCGCCGGGGCCTGCGCTGTGTGATGCACGTAAGATCGCTTAGCGGCAATGGATGCTGGAATTTTGTGGCATTGTTTTGTGACATTTCTGTTGCAGCTCAGAGCAGAAACTCTCTGGACTCTGGCGCTGATTGTATGTCGTGCAGGAACAAGCCAATCAGCTACCGAATATTGGCTTTCATATCTAGGCGATACCAACCCCACAACCAGCTT